TAGCTCTCATATCACATAACATGGCATAATCATTTATAACAGTTCACATCACTTGTATCATTCTTATATGATCTCATAGATCATTGTATAATATTCTTGTATTCATATCATTTCTCTTATAATCACATGTTCTTTCTCTTCTGTCACATACCACTTGTATGTGTAAGCATATATCTCATATCATATAACATATATCACATATTACATGTAATCACATAGATCGTTTCATATGGCTTATATAATTTCTCATTTGTTCATGTACGCATGTCATATCTTGTTCACATATGTTCATATATACATCACATAACTCATAACATAGGCATGTATTCTCATATATTAGATTCACATATCTCATATTTTATTCTCATATGTTCACATAACTTGGATCAATATACATATAGTCACGTAGATCACTTTTGCATAGCTTATATCAACTTTTCATGTCCTTTCACACTTCTTATTACATTGCTTATATCTTATTCTTATGTCTTCATATATACATATATTCACATATACATGTTATTTCATTATCCTTATTATTATTATTATTCTTATCATCACCATTAATCGTTTTTACTTACCTTATTCATATCAAATAACATATATATCACTACACCAAGGAACAAACATGTCATCATGTAATTTCTATAACATATTTCATATTCTTATATAATCTTATAGATTATTTATATTGTTTCAATATGACTTATCACACTAAAATATACTTATGCACACATATAAATCATAGCAAACACATACTTCTATGAATTCATGCATTTTACTATTGGAAATAGACTTATCGCAAGTCTTATTTTCCATTAAACATCATATACTAAATAATGCGCACTCACCTTGACACTTTATATATATCCAAAGCCGCTTTTATGATTTATCTCCTTGGATTGATCCTAACTTTGCAGTCGTTTTAGAACTTGCTTGTGCTCAATATCTACACAATCATACATTTTTAATGTAATTATCATATATCTACACCTTATAATTTGATGCTAATAACTTAAACGAATTTAATAGACCCATATTCAATTTTTCCTTTAGGAGTGTACCGATGCACTATGGGTGAGTGTACCGATGCACTATGGGTGCATCGGTACCCAAAATAGCTTTGAAATTTTCATGCATCGATGCCTGTCGGTGTGTATCGATGCACCTTACAAAATTGGTCTTAGTTCATCGGCACCCATTCATTGTGTACCGATGCACATGTCAATAATAAATTGGTTTCACCTAAAAATTCCACACCTTTTCATTAAATTTCATCATAAAATCTCCTGTTATACCACCAAACTCATCTACAACCATCTTAATTAACTTCTATCATTTCAACATCTTATTATCTCCCATATCTCATCCAAATTCTTAAAACCAAAAATCTTACTAAATTATCCATGTAATCCAAACTTTGATTTAACACTTATAACTTCTTATTCATACCTATGACAAGTCAATTTTAGTTTCCAATTCCACTTATCAACTCTTTTCCAGAAATTTATTTAGAAACCCATTCCCTTTAATCTCTTATAACTTCTTCATTTTTTTATTATAAGACAACTTAAGCTTTCCTTAAGCTTAAGTATCACCTAAGGATCATAACTCAACCTTTAATTCAACAAATAATCAACTAATTAAGAAACTCACATTTGCTTGGGGTGCTTCATGTTGGAGAAGAGAAGAAGATGAAGAAGATAAGTATGGAAACTTGATTTTCAAACATATGCTCCACATGGGTATTATAGTACCCATTAATTATTATTTTATTATTTTCTTTTTTTATTGACCCTTTTGCCCATTTCTTTCTCCTTCATTTGTTAAATCATCCTACACAATACATTTCAATTAATTCCTTCACTTTTCAATTTATCTAATTTGTTCATTGAATTTTAAAATCTTATACTTTAATCACTAACCCGATATTGAGGATGTTATAGGGTTGCTATCCACCGAGAGAGGAAATTTGGTACCTTGGTTGAGATAGCCAAGACTGCTGAGGAGATAGAGCGAGTGGGTCTGGAGCGTAAGAGGGACCGAGATAGAGGTACAAACTAAGATTGAGATAGAGACTGATTCAATAAACCTTTTGGTTCTAGCGATGTTTGTGCGCGTCCCAGCAAGAGAGGTAAGGGTGAGTCTTCTCATAAAGGTGGTGCGAGTTTTAACCCTACAACTTCAGCCACTCTGATAGTTCCAGCATCTAGTCAGGGTGGTTCTTCAGGAGTATCGTAGATTCCCATTTGTGAATATTGTTGGAGTTGTTATTTTGGAGAGTGTAGGAATATGATGGGGACTTATTTCAAGTGTGGGTCCGACGAGCATTTCTTGATGGATTATCTAGCCGGTTCCCACCTCCCAGATATCAGTTCAGACTCCTACTCGTACTCAGAGTACAATTCAGACACCAACTAGGGGTCGTAGTCAGTCGAGAGGATCTGGGTCTTCTAATAGAGGTCAACTTTCTCAACACAGGGGTTCAACTCGAACTGAGGCTAGGCAACCTAATGCTGCTAGACGTTGACAGGATTGTGATGAACTTGATGTGATTGCAGGTATTGTTACTATTCACTCAATTCCATACTTTACTTTATTTGATCCTGGATCTACTCGTTCCTATGTATCGTATTTTGTATATGGGGGTCTTGACATCCCGATTTTGAATACCAAGAGTCATGTGACAGTTCTGAGCCTCATAGGATAATCTATTGACATAGATTGAATTTTTAGATGGTGCCCTATAGAGATCCATGGGGAGGTTTTTTTGGAGGATCTAATGGAGTTTTTATTAGAAGAGTTCGGCTTGATTCTCAACATGGATTGGCTTGACGAGCATCAAGTTGATCTCGACTATGAGACTAATAGAGTTGTTCTGAAGACTCCTAATAACATGAGGATAGTGATGATTGGGGAAAGTTATGGGTCTCTAACGGATGTCGTATCAGCCTTGGTAGCTGAAATGATGATTAGGAAGGGTTCTAAGGTGTTCTTCGCTTATATTTTGGATACCAGGGGTTCCCAATCAGATTTAGAAAGAATCTAGACTGTTAAAAGATTTCACAGTGTCTTTCTCGAGGAGTTGTCTGGTTTACCACGGATAGAGAAGTTGAGTTTGATATTGAAGTCTATTCATGTTCGACTTCAGTATCAATGGTTCCTTACCGTATGACCCTTAAAGAGCTTAAAAAACTGAAAGTTCAACCCTAGGAGTTATTGGATAGGGGATTTATTCATCCCAGTGTTTCACCGTGAGGTGCTATGATTCTCTTTGTCAAGAAGAAATTGAGACTCTGTATTGATTATAGAAAGTTGAACAAGCTCACGGTTAAAAACAAAATATCCTTTGCCTATGATCGATGATTTGTTGGACCAACTTTGGGCGTTACTATCTTTTCGAAGATAGACTTGAGATCTGGTTATTACCAACTCAATGTGAAAGATTCTGACGTCCCCAAGACCATTTTTCATACTATATATGAGCATTATGAGTTCTTGGTGATGTCATCCAGGTTAACCAATGGCCATGCTTCTTTCGTGGACATGATGAATAGGGTGTTTTGACATTATATGGACCAATTTATGGTCCTGTTCATAGAGGGCATATCGGTTTATTCCCAGACTGAAGCAGAACATGATGAGCATTTGAGGATTGTTCTGCAGACCTTGATGGAGCATAGGTTGTTTGCCAAGTTGAGAAAGTGTGAGTTATGGCTCAGCGAGGTTACTTTTCTAGGACATGTCGTATCTGCTGAGGGTATTTAGGTGGATCTGAGTATAGTAAAGGCTATTCTGAGTTGGAAGCAACCCAAGAAAGTTTTAGAATTTTGTAGTTTTTTAGGTTTAGTTGGTTATTATCATCATTTTGTTGAGGGTTTCTCCATCATAGCAGCTCATTGAAGAAGCTATTGAGGAAGGATGTCCCATTTGTCTGGTCTGAAGCTCGATAATCTAGCTCTAAAAAATTGAATACGGTTCTCACTGAAGCCCTAATGTTGATTCAACCTGAGTCAGGGAAGAATTTTTCAGTTTACAGTAACACTTCTAACTCTGGATTGGGATGTGTTCTGATGCAGGATGAGAATGTTGTAGCTTATGCGTCTCGTCAGTTAAAGTCGCATGAGCGTAACTACCCCACGTAGGATCTGGAGTTAACTGTAGTGGTTTTTACTCTAAAAATTTGGAGATATTATCTCTATGGAGAAAAGTGTTTCTGAAAGAATATGATTGTGAGATAAAAATATCATCCGAACAAGGCCAATGTGGTGGTCGATGCCTTGAGCCGTAAGACCGTATCTGATCTTAGAGTTTTGTTTACCAGGTTGATCTTGTATGGTGATGTCAGTCTATTAGCATAGTTGTAGGTTAAGTCAACCCTAGCCGACAATATTAGGGCTAAAAAGCTGCTTGATAGCTCATTGCTTAATATTATCAAGCAAGTTGATCAGGGATTGAGTTTGGAGTATACTCTTGGTCATGATGGTATTCTGTTCTTCCATGGTCATTATTGTTTTCCTAAGGATTATGAGTTAAGGTAGACTATTCTTCAGGAGGCTCAGTACAACCTTTCATCCGCAAAATGATGGTCAGTTTGAGAGAGTGGTTCAGGTTCTTGAGAATATGCTACGGGGTTATATGATTGATTTTCGTGGTAGTTGGGAGGACTTTTTACCGTTAGCCGAGTTTGCTTACAACAGTAGTTACCAGGCTAGCATCGGCATGGCACCGTATGAGGCTCTATAAGGATGTCAATGTCATACTCCTATATGTTGGACTGAGTTGCATGAAAGGATGACATTGGGTCTAGATTTAGTCAGGAGACTGGGGATCCTGTCAGATTGATTCGTGATCGCCTGAAAGAGGCCTTTGATAGACATAAATCTTATGCATACCAAAAGAGGAAGGATATCGAGTTCGAGGTTGGAGATAAAGTATTTCTGAAGGCATCTCCGTTGAAGAAGGTGTTGAGATTTGGATGCAAGGGCAAGTTGAATTATTTTGCTTTATGTTTGACATGGAAATGAAGTCCATTCATGCTTTTGCTGAGGCTTCCATGAACACTGCTTATTAGAAGAAGTGTCCTCTTTATCTTAGTACAAAAAATACTATTCTTAAGAAGTATGATGGAAGGTATGTGACGTGCATAATACGTATAACTTTTTCTAGTGGAAGTACATTATTTTCCAAATTTTGACTCCTATAGGCATTCTTGTTTATTTGATGAAGATTTAAGGATATCTTCCAAGAAGTTTATGAGGCTAACAAGAAATCAAAATATGAGGCTGTTGGAATGTAACACCCCCAACCCGTACCCGACCCGTATACTAATCCGAGGTGTCACATTGACTTTTCAAACTTTGTCTCTTAAGAAAATCAAGGAAATTTTAAATTTTCATTAGAATAAAAGTTGTTAACTTACATAAGCTGACCAAAATAATACAAAATCGATCAGAGTATTCGTAACTAACAACTTGTTACATGCCAACACTCTATATACAACAAAAGACATACTTTGTCAATTACTTCTGATATGATTTTCTAGTAGTGATATTGTCATTGCCACTCCTATTTCTGCTCTTCTTGTTTCTTTGTACATACGTGTAAATCACTTACACGCTAATTCATAGACTTAGTGAGGCATAAAATGAGTATATAACAATAAATCATGAGCATGTACTATTATTAATCCCTTATGACATTGCAATGTACATATATATACTACACTATAACATATATAAATGTGGTATGTACAACTAAACTTTAACTTCTTATAAGAGTTTTCATTCAATTTATCTTTGGATGCCCATGTATATTACTAAGAACAAGAGGTACGTGAGTACACTGAGATTGTGCACAAATGCTGTCACCACAGCTCGAAAAAATTCCCACTAGGGGCACTGAATATTTGTCCCGAAGGACCACTATGTCCCAAAGGACCATTATGTCTCGAAGGACCACTCCTTAAGAACTATATATATAATACAATGGTCCAATTATGTGTACCGAAGTATCACCTATATGTTCCACAGAATTACATATATGTCCCGAAGGACCACGTAGAACCCTCGACTCTTGGCATGCCAATTATACCTACAGATCTCATATCATATAACATGGGCTTAAATATGAATACATTTCTCATTTTCATGTCTCTCTTTTATCACTTTTCATATAAACATATAAATTCACTTTACATGGACACATATAATCACTTCCATTATTTCAAATACCTGGATTGATTCTCTTTTAATTGCGTTCATTTATATAATGTTATGTTAAAACATAAATGAATTATGCATGAAATCACTATGACAGTAGTATATATATATATATAAATATATGCATGTACATGAATATAAAATCATAAATTCCACTATAAGAGATAGACTTATCACAAGTCTTATCTCCGTACCATTCTATCTAGGGTATGCACTCACCTTAGCCTTGCTTGCTTTGACTTGATCCTAATTCTTTGATTGTTCCAGAACATGATTATGTTCTATATCTACATAATAATACATTGATACATATCAATATACTAATAGATATATTATAATCTTCCATTTCTTAAACTAAAAGAAATGTTACTTTTATCTTTTATTTAAGGTAGGTATCGGTACATCTATAGTGTATCGGTACATCCCTTAACGTGTGTATCGATACACTACCTATGTATCGATACACAAATTACATTCGATGTTTTTCGTTACAAGGGGTGTATCGATACACTTCCTATGTATCGGTACACTTTGAATATTTTTTTTGCATTTTACCCTTGATGTATCGGTACATATTGAATGTGTACCGATACATCTTGCCCAGAAATTACCTCTTGAGCCCAAAAAATCACTCAATTCAACTCAAATACTTCATATTTCATCCCCTTTTATAATCCTAACTTACATACACATGCTTAGCATCATTAATATCCATTTATCCCATCTTTAACCTCAATATCCTCTTCTCTTTATGAAATTCAAGAATCATACTCAAATTTCAACACGTTCTAAATTCAATTCTATCACTTCATATCTCTTAATTAAGTTATTGACAAGTCAAATTTAGTTTCAAATTCAACTTATACATTCTTTTCCAGAAATTCATTTAGACACCCCTTTTCTTTAATCTCTTATAACTTCTTCATCTTTTGATTATAAGACAACTTAAGCTTTCCTTAAGCTTAAGTATCACCCAATGATCAAAACCTAACTTAAATTTCAGCTAATAATCAACTAATAAGAAATCTTACCTGTACAAGTTGGAGTTCACGGCTGGGAGAAGGAAAAAGAAAACTCTAGAGATTTTGATATCTCATTCCCCAACCCACGTGGAATCATATATATATCCCCTTTCAAATTAATTATCTTTTCTACTAAATGACCATTCTACCCCTTCTATTATTCTTTCTTCACTATTTAATCATACACAATATTTCTCGTATAAGTCCTTAAAATATTCAATTATTCTAATTAATCACCAAATTCTGAAACTTTACAATTTAATCACTAACCCTATATCGAGGATATTACAAATCTCCCCCTTAAGAAAATTCATTCTCGAATTTTCATTACACAAATAGTTGATTCCTCATGTCCTCTTCATGCTCCCATGTTGCTTCCTCTATCTTGTGATTCCTCCACAAGACTTTAACTAGTGGAATAGTCTTGTTCCTTAGTTGCTTAACCTCGTAAGCTAAGATTTTGACCGGTAGTTAACTGCAGTGGTTTTTACTCTGAAAATTTGGAGATATTATCTCTATGGAGAAAAGTGTTTCTGAAAGAATATGATTGTGAGATAAAGTATCATCCGGGCAAGGCCAATGTGGTGGTCGATGCCTTGAGCCGTAAGACCGTATCTGATCTTAGAGTTTTGTTTACCAGGTTGAGCTTGTATGATGATGTCAGTCTATTAGCATAGTTGTAGGTTAAGTCGACTCTAGCCGACAAGATTAGGGCTAAAAAGCTGCTTAATAGCTCCTTGCTTACTATTAAAGGGAGTTTTTTTTCATAATTGATAAGTCTAAAACGTTTTATTTGAATATCAAATTTGGTTGAACTTACACACCCTAGCAAGTTGCACATTTTGCAATAGGAGCTACAGCTTGGGTAACTATGTGAACGTATTATCTTTATAGTATGCTTCTTCATATATCAATGGACATAAGACTAATTCTTGTTAAGCAAGGGGAAGTACGAGTTGATAAGTACATGCATGAAGCTTAGGCATTATATGTTTTGAAGTATCTTGTCTAAAACTAAAAGGCACATTTCTATGTTTTAACGTTTGCATAATGCATTTGTTGCAGGTCGAAAATGGGAAGGGGTTGGAGGGTTGTCGTCAATGGATTTATGGTTTGGTTGGGAAATAATGTAATAAAAGCGTCACCGAACGAGATGAGGAGGGTGGTGGAGACGGGGTGTTGTGGATAGACGAATTTAATCAACCATTTGATCAGATACACTCTCTGTCTCACTTGATTTATCTCATCATTTGTCTTATGATTATTACCCTTATCATTATTCAATGGATTTGAATTTTTGATTCAATTTCCGTATGTCATGGTATGATTTCATATATTTTGACGCAGCAAATAAATGAATTGATATTTGGAATTGAAACTTTTATTTATATTCGTTAAGAATGATTCCACTTTAATGAATGGGAAGAGCAAAGAGTAGAAGAAGTGCTTGTGTGTAAAGGCAAATTGATGTGTAATAATAATCTTATTATAAATGTAGTATATTCTTCTTCAAGCAGATGGATAACCTATCCTTGTATTTATTTATCTCTTTCTGTCCTTGCTTCTCCTTGAATGCAAGATTTTATTTCACCCTTTGTGACCTCAACCATCAAGCTTTCATTACGAGTAAGAATTTGCTAATCTGACCCAAGTCGTCGTTTTGAGGTATCTCTCATTTCACTTCTCTGTTTTTATTGTTTTTTAAGGTTGGCCCCACTGCCGCCATTGTGGGGGTACGTATGACCCACCAAAAGAAATAGGACAAATTACATATATATATATATATATATATATATATATATATATATATATAAGTGGACCTTCGTCACAACACCCTATCTTTCACTGGAAACCTAAATTGAATGAGTCAGGTGGCACGTAGTCGCTCTGAAACCTAAATTATTTTATGTTAGTTATTCATTTTATTCAATGTATCTATATTAAAATTTTATTGTATCCATTATATACAAAATCTTTTGTTATTAATATATATGTTCATCCTGAGAAATATTTCTGGATCGCTAATGTTCTTATGTGTACAAAAATATTTGATTCGAATAATCTGATTTGTTTATTCGACAATATGATTTGAATTTTTTTAATTCGAATCACATATCCAATAAAAATAGGATAATCGGATCATGGATATCCCAATCTCGGATTATCCGAATATGCAAAAAGAAAAATAAGTGGACGTTCAGCGCAGCACCCTATCTTTCACGGGAAGCTTTCCAAATCCCAGACTATATCAATCTTCATTCTCCAGTTATCTAATTTCTTTTGTACAAGTAAATCAGCTTCCAGTGAACTAGCAACCTAGCTATCTTGGAGGAACAATGGCCGACAACATGAATGTCGGTCTCTCTACCGGGACTTGTGGAGGTTCAACCTCTCATTTTAGAACCCACATTAACTGCAGAAACATAGATGTTCATAGTCGTTGACTGAGCATCATTTCATTGTAATAATCTTCAAGGGCATTTTAAATATGATTTAATCGATGATAGCTTGAATTTGGGTTGTAAATAAGTAATATGAGCATCATTTCATTGTAATAATCTTCAAGATCATTAACTATGTAATTTACCCAAAGAAATATTTATATATTATGAGGTGGTTCGTACAAGGGGTTAACAGTTTAACACCTTTTAAATGGGTTAAATAGAGGATTTTTTTAATTCGATAAAATAAAATGTTATAGCATGCACATACAAGATTAATTACGTCAAAAGCCTTTGAACTATAAATTAGATTCTAAATTGGTCTCCAATCTTTTGACATATAAAAGAGTTTTAAGTATTAATTAAAAAAATTATGTACAATAATAAGAAAATGGATATATTTTCCCGTTAACCTAATTTCAAAGTGGATATATAATTCAATTAGGATACATATAATACAAATGACTTTTTATAAATAAATATTTATTTTTAAAAATTATGAAATTAAATATTAGACAATACTTTTTTTAAAAAAAAATTGTCAAACTTACATGCACAATAAATTTATGAAGTAAATTTATAATTGATA